AGAATACACCTAAATTCTTAGAGTGTAGGCCTTTACAGACAGGCCTGAATATCTGTATCCTAACAGATGGTTCCACTCTCCCTCCCCCACCTCCCCAATAAGTCATTTGATCTCTCTTCCTCACACACAGATACACCAACATTTTCCCTGCTGGTGAAATCTCGCACAAGAGAGGGAGTGAGCGTGTGAGAGCGAGCGAGCACATGCACACACATGTGCACAGATAGAGCAGCACAAATCTCAGGATCTGGCAGGGCCACAACAGATCCACATGCATTTAGAGCAGCAATCCCAAAACGAGAAGAGCGTCAAGGCCTGAGCATATTACTGACAAACCCCCTTCATTTCGTCCTGACTCTGCTACAGGCCTCAGGCAAGTGGCTTCACTGCTCTCTGACTCTGCATCTCCTGTCTGTACGAGAAGCGAGTGCAGTCCTTCACCATAGCAGGCTGCTGCAGAGGGTGACCAGGTGTCCCCATTTTATAGGGACAGTCCCGATATTCAGGGCTTTGGCTTAGACAGGTGCCTATTACCCCCACGCCCATCTCAATTTTTCAAACTAGCTCTCTGGTCACCCTACTGGTTCAAGGCGTTGTTAGTTCATGTTCCCAGAGTCCTTTTCACCCCTGCTCCACAAGGGTCAGCAAGCTGAACACTTCACCGACTTTCACGTTCCCAGTTCTTCAGTCACATTATTTCCTACAGCTAGTATGGTAATGTGACCCCACAATCTTGATGGATGCCAGGGGCCTCTGGAGATAAAATCTCGAGTCTCTGCGGTTTGACCAAAGATCCAGGCTCTGCTGCTGTGAACAGTAACAGAATCATACCCTTTCTAACTTGGGCACAGAGGTGAATACACAGAACCGAAGGTTATAATAAATCTTGATCTGGGTACCAGACCACAGATCCAGGGCCCAATTCTGACACCCTCAACCACGTAGGGCTACTCATGGAGTAAAGTAGATCTCAGTGTGAATTGGGGCTGCACAATCAGGCCCTAAATTAGCATCTCCCACTGTTTTAGGACCAGACATTCAGATGCTGGCCTCCATTTTCGTGAATGCAGTTTAGGACACATAGATGCCTAAATTCTTGATTGCACTAACAAACTGGGCAGTTTATTATTACTTATCTGCGTTATGGTAGCATCTGGAGGGAGTAGGTACTGTATAAACTCGTACTAAAAGACAGTCCCTATCCTGAAGAGCTTACAGTCTAAATAGCCAAGACAAAGAGCACTAGGGGAAACTGAGGCAGTGATTTGCCCAAGATCAGAGGCAGAGCTGGGAATTGAACCTACGCTGCTGTCTCTTAGTCCAGTACCCTATTAGGCAGACTGTGCTGCCTCTCCAAACGGTAGGCACAACGCAGCACCCAACAAAAGCAACCTGCCTCTTATGGATGTTCCCAACATTTAGTCTATTCCCAGCCTTTGACTTCAAGAACAAATTTTATCAGCTCATGGTCCTGATTAACAAGTACACAAAAAAAATCCAATGCAAATGTGAGCTACAAATACATTTCCATGGTGAAGGCACTGGTGCTTTGCATGCAATGGGTAAAAAGGAAAGGGGGTCAGTTTAGGCTGAAGACTTTGATTTTATTATTATTGTCCTACCATAGTGTCTAGGGACTCCAGTCATGGCCCAGGACTACATCTGTGCACAGAACAAAAAAACTAAAGCAAGTTTGAAAAAAATTGCCTAAAAACAAGGGTGTTAGAAAGCATTCTGCCTTCAAACCATGCGATTTTGTGTTTGCCTTAGTTTCACTTTTTCCTGTTCAGGGGGAAAGAGGGCAGGGTTTGGGTCTGTGTGGTACAGGTGTAAGTGGGGGGAATGGTCCTGCTCTTGTGCGGGACTTTCCTGGTTTATACACTACCCTGGTGAAATGGGCTAACAAAAGGATCTGAGTCCTCGCTCCCACTTCCTTTACCCAGAGACCTGCCTGACCACAAGGACCCTCCCCTCCCCTTCCACTCTCCTAGGTGGGTGGCAGAGACCTTGTAATCCTGACAAGGCTAGGCCCAGGATTCCTGGAGGCTCGACTCCCAACCTTGTCATGGTCACTTAGGATAGGGGCTAGGGTGTCCCCCACTCCAGGGTGCTCTCTCTGCTCTGGACACTTTCCTAACCCACTGATCATTGCATACAGTTCAAAGCAAATACAATGTATTAAACAGCAACTAATTAAAAAAAAAAAAGGCAAAAAAAAGGAAAAGGTTAAAGGAAAACTCGTCACCTCGCTCTGTGGCATGGGGACATCATAACCAGCCATCTCTGGAACATAAGGGAAGTTCAGTCTGTCCCTCACATGTCCCAGGCCTTCTCAGGCCCTGGCTGCAAGAATGCTGCAGGTCGGACACTTGCTCAGACATATGCCTTCAGATTCTAGGTCAGGGTGGGCAAATTTTTGTCCTGAGGGCCACATCTGGGAGGGGAAATTGTATGCAGGGCCATGAATGTAGGGCTGGGGCAGGTTGGGGTGTGGGAGGGAGTGTGGGGTATGCAGAATGGGGCTCAGGGCAGGGGGTTGGGGTGCGGCAGGGGGCTTAGGGAAGGGGGTTAGGGTGTGGGGTGCAGGAAGGGCTTGGGGTGCGGGCTCCAGCCCGGCGTCGCTTACCTGGAGCTGCTCCGGGGTGGCAGAGGGGCTAAGGCAGGTTCCCTGCCTGCCCTGACCCTGCGTCATTCCCGGAAGTGGCCAGCATGTCCAGCAGTGGCTCCTGGGGGTGGGGTGGGGCAGGTGGCTCCGCTGCGCGCTGCCCTCACCTGCGGGTACCACCCCTGAAGCTTCCATTGGCCGTGGTTCCCCATTCCTAGCCAATGGTTCCCCATTCCCGGCCAGTGGGGCCTGTGGGGGACGGTGCCTGCAGGCAAGGACAGCGCACGGAGCCCTCCACCTCCCCATCCTCCAGGGACGTGGTGCCAGCTGCTTCCGGGAGTGGTGCAGGGCCAGGGCAGGCAAGGAGCCTGCCTTAGCCCCACTGCGCCACGGGGCTGGCAATCCTCCGGGCCGGAGTTTGCCCTCCCCTGTTCTAGGTGGCAGGGTCTTCTTCCCAGTGTCAGACACCAGCCACCCACCCAAGTCTGGCCTGCAAGATCATCTCCCTGCACTGGGTCCACTGCCCAGGGTCCCCCCTTGCTAGAGTGACCAGATAGCAAGTGTGAAAAATCGGGGCAGGAGGTGGGGGGTAATAGGCGCCTACATAAGCCCTGAATATTGGGACTGTCCCGATAAAATCGGGACATCTGGTCACCCTACCCCTTGCTCTCCCTGGCTGCTCCAGCCCCACTCTGCCTCAGTGCTGCTGCTGCTCTGCCTCCTGCTCCCGGGGCTGCTTTTCTGGCCTCTCTGGCTCTGGTTGCTGCAGCTCTGCTCCCAGCACTGACCTGCTCCCTGGGCTACTTCCCTGGCTCTTGCTGCAGCTCTCCCTGGTTCAATCTGCTTATCTGGTTTTCTCTGGCTCTGGCTGGCGCGCGCTCCCCAGCTCAGCTCAGCCTCCTGCTCTCTCCTTAGCTTGGCCCTGGCCGGACAGTTCCAGCTCACACACGGAGGCCTCCTGACTCTCATTAGCCTGCCTGCTCTGTCAATCAGGCTGACCTGGAGCGTTGGCCTCTCTCCATTGCCCCTGGGGACTGCCAGTCTCAGGGTCCTGATTCCCCATCGACCCTGTCCCTTTCTTTTGGTACCGACAGCTAGCCAACCAACCCCCTCCTGCCCACTAAATTTTAGTAACGGACCAACAGTCCCCTTACACTGGGGTCTGGAGTGAGGACTTCTACTGATTAGTTATATTACAACAGCACCCAGAAGTCACCTGGATCAGGAAACAGGTAGTTTGTCCTGCAAAACATTTCAAGATTTTTTTGGGGGAAAAATGGGATGAAACTACATTTCGACAATTTACTTTTAAAATTTTTTACCCAAACGGACTGGTTTATTTTCATTGCCCAAGCTGGGAAAATTGCAGAGAGAACAAGCAAACAGCTTTGGAGGTGGAAAGGCCATTAGATTTTTTTTAAAAATTCCATGATAATTGCCTAAGTTGCTCTTATTAACACAGGCAGCGAATTTAAACCTGACAGTGTCCCTTTAAAATCTCTTTGGTGTCCCGAAAACTTCACTGGTGCTAAACACAGGTGGTCAGCCACTTATTGTAGCCACCTTTAAGATTTTAAAGAGGCTAGAGGTCAGCACTTTTTGAAAATCAGGCCTCTTTAAACAGTACTTCTGATTGTGGTGCGCAGACTTTAAGACACCCAAAAATCATTAGTCAGTACCGAAAATGTAGACCCTAAATAAACAAATGTCATTTTCGGATCCCATGCCTGCTCCTGAGTCTCCCTGTTAATTGTTGGGGCTTTGTAACCATGTTTTCCTATTCTAAATTTTATATATTTTCCCCTTGAAAACAGAGGAAACTGATTACAGAGGGACAGGGAAAATGACAACACACGCCACCATCTTCCGACTTTCAAGTCTCAACCTGTACAGATGTACAGGGAAGCGAAGAGACAGGCCAGTGGCTAAATGAAGATCAGAACCCAGATCTCCAGGCAAGTAACCCTATCAATTAGGCCATGCTGCCTCGCACTTGATGAGGGCCTGATGGATTTCTGCGGCGCACTGGCAAATGCACAGGCAGGAGCAGTCCCTTAACAAACATCAGCATTACAACCACTGCCTTCTAAAAGGCATTTCTTCTTCCAAGCAAGGAGTGTCCCATCTGATGCACAGCCCTGCTGGCTTTAACTGCCCATGGCAATGCAATAGTCCATGAAAAATGTAAACACACACAAATCCTTTCAGGCTGGCCCCTTGAAATGTATGTAAATAAGTCAGCAGAAATGTGCGAAAACAAGCACCAGACCCAGGAACTGGCAGAGCCTGGGCAAGAAACTTACTCTGGGTGCTCACCAGCAGCTGCTTATGAAGGCACCATAGAAGCATGAGGAGCACAGGGGTGTTAGCTATGTGGGTTAGTGTTTTGCTGACCATGGCCGGCTCAGAGAGACAGTATTCTGATTTCCATCTGGCTGGCGATTACCTCCTCGGGGGGCTTTTCTCGCTGCATGCTGAAACTATGAGCAACCCCCATCTCAGCCATTCGACGGTACCCACGTGTCAAGCGTAAGTAGGAAACAGGCATCGCTGGGGCTGGGGAGGGTGATGAAATAGTTTGGGGCCACACTGCAGCCAGCATTGGCTTGTTCCTGGTGAAGGGGAAGGAAGCAAGGACTTTTGTGGCTGAGGCACCTGGCTGGGACTCATATACCTGGGTTCTGTTCCTCACTCTGCCACAGACTTCCTGCGTGTGACCTGGGACAAACCATTTAAGCCAAAACTTTCACGCCTAGGTGCTGGACTATAGGCACCTAAACTAGCTGCCCCCTTGTCAGAAGTGGTGAACTCCCACAGGCTTTAATGAGAGCTGGGGTACTCAGCCCATCAGATAAGGAGGTCACTAGGTGCTCAAAATTAACCACCCATGTTGGAAAGTGCTGGCCCTCAATCTCTATTCAACTATCTTGTGTCACAGCAGATGCTTCAAATGACACAAAACTGATCAGCTGTTTAATAGCTGAAATGGATCTCTCGTGATGCTTGGCTCGTCTATTTATCTGACCATGAGGATCGCTGCCGAGCTGTGCAAGCCCTTTTCCATCCCACTCCTTAAACAAATGGCTCTTGCTCATCCAAGCAGACCCATTCAGGCTAATGGGACTGCTAATGAGGACTGCTCATCAGGGGCCAGTGGATAGGCTATTGGATTGGGAGCCAGAAAACCAAGCCTGGCTGTGTCCCTGATCTGCTGTGTGACCTTGGGTAAGTCACTTTGTCTCTCTCTGCCTCTGCTTCGAATCCCAGTTATGGTCTGCCTTGTCTATTTAAATTGTGAGTTCTTCAGGGCAGGGTCTCTTGCTTACTATGTATACACCCAGTACCCAGCACAATGAACAGAGGCAGAAGGCTGGTTCATGGGAAGTCAGGAGACCAATGTTCAATTTTCTGCTCTGCCACAGATTCCCTGTGTGATCATAGGTAAGTCACTTAGGCCTAGATCCTCAAAAGGTTTTTAGGCATAGCAGTGAAGCTGCAGCAGCATGGGTTTCAGCGGTGGCTGTAGAAGTTTGCCCAGGACCCTGGGCACTTATTCAGCTGGCTAGTTCAGCTCGGAGATCACTCTAGTGTAACCCACACACCTCCCGGGTGTGGCGCTCTGTCCCCTCCAGTGGCACGGAGACCACTTAGAGATTAATGAGCCTCTACTGCATGAGCTAAAAGACACGTGGCTCTTAGCTCAGGCTCATTAATCTCTAAGTGGTCTCAATGCCACTAGAGGGGACGGAGCACCACACCCAGGAGATGTGTGGGTTACTCTAACTACATCAAATCTAGCTCAGGTATGCCCTACTGATGCTGTAATCATACCTCCGATGGCAAGCGCAGACATACCCTTAGCATGCAGCCTACTCAGGGGTGCACCTTGCCCGCTGCTGATGGCCAGCATTCCTGAATCAGATACTCCTGAAGGTGTTCAGCTAGACTTTTGCCCCCAGGACACACAACACAGCTGAACTCCTAAGGGACACATCCTAAGGTCTTTGCTCAGGCCTGTGCAATTTCTCGTCTCACCTCCCAGCTTTTACCCTGGCACATCAGGCCAAAATGGGAGCCCGCCCCACCACCAAACTGACTTCAAAAGGCGTTTTGCCTGACGAAGGGCAGGACATCAGGCCAGACCGTGCTGTTAAGTCACAGGTCCATGATGGAGGCAGTGGGGAGCCGCTCGGCCTCAGGAGGGCATTTACCATGCTTCCCCAGAGCTCTGCAAGATGCAGCAGGAGCACACAAGCTGTTCCACTTCTTGGATGGGGGCAGCATGTACCCTCCTTTGCAGCCAGCCAGCTTAAGTGGTACATAGGCCCTGTTCAGGGCTGAATTTCACTCACATTGCATAGTGCTTTCATCCAGAGATCTCAAAGCCCTTCCCAAGCACGAATTAAGCTTCATGATCCTCCAAAGACACCCATTTTGGGATGAGAGGCAGGGGGTGGGATGGAGTCCAGACAGGTTAAGTGCTCAAAGTCACACATTTGCAAAGTCAGCAGCAGGGCTCACTCTAGAAACCAGAAGTCCTCGCTTCCAGAAGATAATCTTGGCCCAGCTGGTGGAGGAAAACACTATTATAATCCTGCCTTTAGTAGCAAGCATAAGAAACTAGCAGAATGTGTGTCACATCTCCCCACTGGTGGCTGGACCACTAGAGGATAACAGCCTACTACACTAACTAAGGAAGTTACTCTTCTAGTTCAACTGGTAGAGGCCTGTGCTGAGGGGATGGGGTTCAAACCCTGATCATAACAAACCCTAACTCTTATATACAACTTTTCATCAGTAGATCCCACAGAGCTTTACAAAGGGATGTAATTATCGTTATCCCCGTGTTACAAATTGGAAACTGAGGCACAGAGAGGGGAACTGACTTGGCCAAGGTCACCCAGCAGGCCGGTGGCAGAGCTTGGAAAAGAATCCCGGTCCCTTGAGTCTCACTCCTGTGCTCTGTCCAACAGACCACGCTGCTTCCCATAATGATGGCCCATTATGCACCTGGCTCCAATTGACTCCTATAGGAGCGCTATATTCAGCGTAGAATTTGGGGCCCAATCCTGAGCTAGTGGGCGTTATTAGTGCACAGCACCTTACAGAGTTGGGCCCAGGGTCCTAAGACTGCAGTGCTATGCAACACTAAGGGAGGAGAGTCCTCTTTGAGACTCACTGCATAAGCCCAAAGCAAGACATGTTCTCTCACTGGACGGGTTCCTGCACCCATCACTCATCGTTTTACACTCCTCCTAGGTACACGCTGAAGACAGCAGGCTACAGCTACCTCCGGGCCATGAGGTTCGCAGTGGAGCAGATTAACAATTCCAGTACCCTGCTGCCTGGTGTCTCCCTAGGCTACGAAATGGTCGACGTCTGTTATTTCACCAACTCCATCCTCCCCATCTTGTATTTCCTCGCCAACGAGCACTCTGTGGTGCAACTGCAGAATAACTACACACACTACCAGCCCCGGGTGCTGGCTGTGATTGGCCCAGACTCCTCACAAGCAGCTGTTCTTGTGGCCCATGTATTGAGTCTTTTCCTCATTCCACAGGTACGTCGGTGCCCATATTAGGGCTGGACAAACCTTCCAGGGCTTGCCTCACTAACATACCTGACTGCATGAACATATCCCCTGCGCTTTGGTTTGAAGTGAGTCAGCCCCCTATAGCTTCAGCATACTCAAACCTCCTTGTTGACATGCTCCCCATTGGGTGGCAAGCAACAGGCATCCCATATTTTCATTGGGATAATCTGGTCACTTTATACCTAAATCACACCAGATGTGCAGAGTGCGGCTACTGCTGGACTTCTCACTTGGGCATCTCCTGGCTTTCTGGAACTCGGACACGCACCAGTTCTGTAGTTAGACCAGCCCCTAATTTGTGCATTATGACAGCATTAAGTCCGCAATCCAGAGAAAGCCAATCCCTAAATCAAGACGCCAACGCTGTTGTACAGGGTGTAAGTCATGTCTGAATATTCACTTTGTCCCTTCCTTGTTCCTTCCTGCCCCTAGATCTCCTACAGGGCCGCCACTAATGAGCTGAACGACCGCGAACGCTTCCCCACTGCCTTCCGCGCCATTTCCAGCATGGAGCAGCAGATTGTGGCCATGCTGCTCCTGCTGAAGGAATTCCAGTGGAACTGGATCAACATTCTGTACAGCGACGATGATTACGGGCGGCAGAACCTGAAGCTCCTGTGAGCCAGGGCTACCGGGATCTGTGTGGCATTGCAGGACGTCATCCCGGTGCCCCGCAGCAGCCAACTGCTCTCACTAGAGTTGCAGGGAAAGACCAAGACCATTGTCAGCAAGGTCAACTACAGTACGGCCAAGGTGGTCATCATCCTGTCTTTGGAGCTGATGCTACCGTTCTTCTTCCAAGAAGCTGTCCGCCAGAATGTCACGGATTTGGTGTGGATTGCCGCCGAAGCCTGGGCCATTGAGCTGACCCTGTACAACATCACTGACCTCTGGAGGGTGGGCAGCAAAAGAATTCTCCATTCCTGGTTTTGATGACTTCAGGGTCAGCCTGGCAGAAGGAGCCAATGGGCAGGCGAGCGACCAAACTACGTGCAACCAAGCGTGTGACTAGTGCCTCAGATCTGCCCGAGACGCAGACCACACTATGAGGGCCCAAGGGGAGCGCACAGACTTCAACGTCTACTCTTCTGTCTACATCGTGGCTCACGCTTTGCACAGGCTGCTGGGCTGCAATACCACAGGATGCCACAAGCGGATGGTTTACCCCTGGCAGGCTGGCCACATGCTTGCACTGAGAAATCCAAGCCACGTTTTAAGGGCACGGGACAAGATGCTTGGGGCATCGGGAAAGTGCTGTAGAGTCTTTTGCCTCCAGCCCATATGGCTAGGAACAGAAAGGTTCTAGTCTCTGATGGCTGCTTGGTGGTCTGCATCAGATGGGTCACATGACCCCAACCCAGTTCCTAGCAGACAACTGTCCATGTTGCAGAATAGCTTGCCCACCGTTCCACGTGGCTGTCCCAGAAGCACTTAGCAGGGACAGGTAGATCATGCCTGCACCCAGCTCAATTGGTCAAATGACCTTTTGCAAAATGACAGCAGGTACCGAGTCCCAGACTCACGGTAGGGCAGAGACACAGCAGCATAGAGTCCACCTCTATGCAGGTGTACACGCCCTTACCCTAGTCTAATTTTGGCCCCTATCCAAAAGACGGCATCTCTATGAGAACAGTGCCCATCTCACACAAACACCGCATTGGGTGTGTGTGGCACGGGTCAGCACCGACTCAGATGAAGAGCACCACTACTTCATTTACCACAACCATTTCCTCCCGCACCTTTTGGAGCGCAGTTCTGTTCTGAAAAGTGGGTGTCAAAACGGCAACATCTTGCTCAACAGACCTGCTCCATGGTCTTCAGAGAGTCAGATCCACTTCCCACAGACCAGAACGAGGATGGCAGAATCCGCCACTCTCTCCCCTTACTCAACCAGCAGTCCCTTTGTGATCAATCAGATGCAAGATACTGCTCAGCATGAACATGGGTGGCAGGGTTTTTAGATCTTTTGCAAAGCCAACATAATTCCAGGGGAGCGAGCTGGCTTCTCTTCTGACTCATGCATCAGCCTGGTTGATCGAGTCCCAGTTGCAGAATCTTTGGGGATATGTGAGCCAGAAGAGCCCAGTTTCACTTTCTGATCCAAGGGTGAGTTTGCCATGCTGGTTCTTAGAAGAAAATTTCTGCTGACTGAGAGCATTTGACCTGGAATCACCAAGTAAAAAACCGACGGCTGCTCTTTAGGCAGCATCTCTTTTCAGAGCAGAACCAGACTTTCAGGAAGTGACACCAATCTGTAACTTCAATGCCTAGCAGTACGTGTGCATTGATCATCTCATCCTTCTCCATTTGCAGCTAGTGCCAGAGGTGAAGCGCGTGGACTTCTCTCTGCTTGAGAAGAGGATCAATTTCAGAGAGAAAGGCAACACTCCGAACAGCTTCGAGATCATCCAGTGGAAGTGGGACCAACCAAGCAACCCTTTTCAGAAAATCACCTCCTATAGCACGAAGAACCAGAAGCTGCTGTTCATCACCCAGAACATCTCCTGGCACACCCCAAACAACACGGCAAGTTCCCTCCACCCATTATCACATATGTGGGAACGTCATGGAACTACCTGAGCAAAACCCAAGGCAGTAGGGCTTAGTCAATAGAGTACAGAGCTAGACCTGGCTTCTATTCGCCATTGGCATGCTGGGTGATCTCAGCCAAGTCACTGCCCCTCTTTGTGCCTCAGTTTCCCCATCTGTAAAACAGAGAGAATGATACTGACCTCCTTTGTCAAGTGCTTTGAACTCTTCGAATGTAAAGTGCTATATAGGAGCTAGGGATTATTGTGCCATAGTTACACACACAAATGGGACTCGAGCATATAAATCCTATCACTTGGGCAACAAAAAGACAGGCGACAAGAAAAGCGGTCAGAATGGGCTGCGTGTGCCAGACTTGTACATAAACAAACAAGGCTTGAAAGTCTCACCCTTTGCTTTAAAATTTTAAATTGCCTCCTGCCAGAAGAATGTTCCTTCAGCTGTTTGTCTGGTACAACAGCGACATCCGGTGGCTGGTTAGGTAATTCCCGGATGAGTGTTGCCTTTGTGGCTATGCCCATCCCTCTTCTCTATTTAAAGGTGATGCAGTAGCTAGATTGATCCCAGGAATGTTTTGCTTATGACCATCCCAAGAACTCCATCCCTGGCTCTTTGCCATTGGAACATGGTAAACTTGCTGGTAAAGTTATTGCAGGTATGTATAACTGATGGCTGAATCCCAAGAGGGGCACAGTCTAAACACTGTTCCCTATTTAAAGGTAAAGCATATTGCCTGGTTGGCTTTATCCTAGCTGTGTATCCCCTTTCCTGTCTATGCTGTGGCTGAACTGGAATTGGATAGCAACTATTATGGAGCATTTACAAGTTCTTCTGGCTCACCTGGAAGTTACTATGAGATTGTCATTGTTTTCCTCCAGTTCCCTTTTACCCAGGTCCCCATTTCAGTCTGTTCCCAGCAATGCGAGCCTGGGCAGCGGAGAAAGCCCACAAGTGTTAGCAGCTGCTGTTTTGAGTGTATCGACTGTGAAGCAGGGACTTTCTTCAACCACAATGGTAAGGAAAATGCAGCGTACAAGCCTAAACGCACTTTGTTTTCATATCAGTCCAACAGTGCTTGTTCCCAGCAGAAGGTCTATAGTTAAGTTAATGGGCTCTAGATAGGGGTAGCTGAGTGAGACTCTCTGATCTGTGCTATGCAGGAGGTCAGACTAGATTATCTAATGGTCCCATCTGGTCCTAGAATCTATGAAAGGAATGAATCTCTTACCCGAAGAGTTGGTTTCAGGTCCTGGCCTTGCCACATTTCCGATGTGACCTTGGGCAAGTCACTTAGTCCTGTTAGGGAAAAAGGGTTCCCCTCCCGTCTAGGGTTAGGAGGGTAGCCTTCCCTAGACGTCTGTATTAGCCAAACAAAACACAGAGTCTTGGCTCTTTGATAAAGTGAGGCACTTTATTGCTAGCAAATACGACAGCTGAAGGGCTCACCAATTTCCTCTCTGGGCATCAGTCCCATATCTATAATATGGGGGTAATAAATCCTTCCTTTGTCTTCTTCATCGGGATTGTAAACTCTTTTGGGCAAGCACTGCCTCTCGCTACATGTTTTTACACCAGCTGGCACAATGGAGCCCCAGTCTTGGCTGTGATCTCCACTATTGTAATAATAATCCCCTCAAGGCCACGCTTTCTCTCACTGATTCAGATTCTCTGTGTGTGGTATAGGGAGCGGGAGCTGGCATGGCGGTAGAGGTGTAGTTAGAAAAGGGGATGAAGAGTCAGAAGACCTGACTTCCATTGTCACTTCTAACAGTGATTCACCATTTGACTGTAGGCAAGTTACATGGCCTCACTGTGGCTCAGTTCCCACATCTGTAAAATGGATTTCATACCGCCCTACCTTATCGGGGAGCTGGGAAGCTTAAATTAATGTTTGCAATGTTTTGTGAAATCCTCAAATAGAAGACCTTAGGTGTTATTTATATCTTAAATTTGCATAGCACCGTCTATCCTGAAGGATTCCAAGAAGCTTGACAAACTATGTACTCTGAGGAAATTTGGCCACCGTTGAAGTGCAGTCACCTCGAGGGTAACAGTGCACAACAAAACTACTCCAGCAGGAAAGGAAAAGGAACACTGGCTCCAACTTCAAGTTTAGGGGGAATTTGGGGATGTAGAATGCAACTACCCAGATTGGAATTTAGCCAAGACACTAGGGTTAAAATCCCTGCACTTGCAAAGAAAAACAAACCAAAACAAACCCACAGGATCACTAAGGACGGTAAGTGGCTTTACCTCTCCTTTGAATCACTTCACCTCCAACAGCAAAGTGTACCCCTAAGACCAAGCTTACGGCACTGGTTCACATATTAATCAGAAAGAAGAGTTTTCGTTACTGTAGAATCACCACTACTTTGGGTTTCCCATGAGGTCTCCCAATCCAGAACTGACCAGGTCTGACCCTGCTTAGCTAGTGAGAGCTGACAAGACAGTAGCCTGAGCCAGTATGGGTGCAAAACCTTTACCATCGCTCCCATCAGTTCTGCTCTTATTAGACACATTGACTATTTACAGACAAGACAGCCCTTACTAGGGTCTTTCAGAAACACCATATTTTGTTTTGCAGACCTGTACAACTGCCAGCCTTGTCCAGCTGACCAGTGGTCCAGTGCCAGAAGTCAAGAGTGCTACCCAAGGCTTGTGAAATACCTGCAATGGCAAGAAGGCACTACAGTGGTGTTGCTGCTATTCTCGGTGCTGGGCCTCATAGCCACTATAGTCATATCTGTCACTTTTGCCATTCATTCGCACACCCCCGTGGTGAAGTCCGCAGGAGGCAGGATGTGCTTCCTCATGCTGGCATCTCTGATCATCAGTTTCGTCAACGTCCCCATGTATGTAGGGATCCCGACAGAGTTCACGTGCGTGTGCCGGCAAACAGCGTTCAGCCTCTGCTTCACCGTGTGCATCTCCTGCCTCACCGTCAGGTCTTTCCAGATCGTCAGCATTTTCAAGATGGCTGCCTGGCTGCCCAAAGCCTACAGCTACTGGATGAAGTACAATGGCCAGTACATTTTTATAACCGTAATTATAGCTCTGAAAGTCACCATCACTGTGACCAACTTTATCATCCACCCTCCTGCTCCAGTTCTGTTAGCTCAGGAGGACGACCCCCCTACAGTAGCACTGCAATGCAACAAGAGCTACAAGTTGGCCTTGCTGATGAACAGCAGCCTAGATATGTTTCTCTCTATTCTGTGCTTCTGTTTTTTCTACATGGACAAGGAGCTTCCCAAGAACTACAACGAAGCCAAGTACATCACGCTGTGTATGACCTGCTATTCCATTTCCAGGATTGCCATTTTCCTGGTCGTGTCTAGGTACAGAGGGGTGCTGGTGATCCTCTGTGATGCTATGTGCATGGTAATCAATTTGCTTGGGATCTCCATGCGTTACTTTGGCCCCAAGTGTTATCTGATATTTTTCCATCCAGAACGCAACACAGCTGCTTACGTCCAAACTGCCATCCAGAGCTACACCATGAGACAGGACTAACCAGGTACCTTGTCTTTGTATGGAGACAGTCCCCATAGCGAAAGAAGCCCCAGTTCCAACGTGTCTGTGTTGGAGGCGAGTCTTTATCGCCTCAAGAAGTGCATCAATGCTTTGTAGATTGTACAACTGTATGAATCTTGCAAATTTCCCTCCTACCCCCTCAAACAAGGCAACATGTACAACAACTAGGGTGGGCTGGAAAACAAGAGTCCTATTTCACGAAACAACTCAAGGTTTTGACATTTGTTTTTGTTCTGCATCAGAACAAGAACTAAATCGGTCAAAGTCTTCTGCAAAAAGAGAGTAAGCAACTCACTCCAGACAAGCCAACAGCCCAGTGGTGAGGGCACTCACTTGGAATCTGGGTTCAAGGTGTGAGTCCCTGCTCTGAATCAGAGCCTCATTCCCATATCCCAGCTGAATGCCCTCATCACCAGGCTATGATGTCAAGTCTCCCAGTCTCGCCTGTTGTAGCTGTTCCATTTTGTATAAATAATTAAATATCCATTGGGCCAGATACAAAGAGACTGACACTATAGCCTGGTCATCATGCCTCCCTTCGTTCCTGCCCCGCTTCCTGGAATGTAGGACCTAAATTCCATCCTGGACCAGAGAAACCTTCCCAATGAAACTTTCATCCAAAGCAATACATTTCCACAAAGAGTTTTGCTTTGGATGAAGTGGCCCTTCCCAACAATAAAGTTGTCATGAAGTTCACCCTAGGACAAGACATTAAGGCCCAGCATTTCCAGAAGTGGCTAGAAATTCTGGATGCCCCAATTAGAGGCCTGTGGGTGGTCAGCATCCCTAAAATAAACCGGGCCCCCAAAGGGTGCTGAACTGAGCACTGAAACTCAGTAGCCATTACTGAAAATTTTGCCTTAAACAATCAAAGCTGGATAGCCGTGTCCATATTTTGAGTTAGTTTCTTCTAGTTGATAAGGCCCAAGTGCATTGCTATGTGACCCTATGCAATTAGACAGGATACTATTAGCTTGGAGCTGCCATAAAAATCTTTTGAAAGCAGCCTGGCAAAGCATAGGACTAGCAGCTAATTCAAACCAACAAACATGGCTGGAGCTTACTGGACATCCTTATTCCAGGTGCACAAATCTGATGCTGTTACATTTTTCTGTTTGTTCCTCTACTATAATAAAGATTTTAAAAACTGACTTAATTTGTTCTGATAATGTTGCGATTTCGCTGAGGGGCTAATGTCCCAGATTTAGGGTTATGATGGCATTTAAAACTCCTATCTGAGATTGGAGTGCCATTGTGTTAGGTGCTGTACAGTCATAGTAAGTGACAATCCCCTCTCCAACAATCTAAATAGGCAAGACAAGTAGTTGGTGAAACTGAGGCACTGAGAGGGGAAGTGACTTGCCTAAAGTCACTCAGCAGGCCAGTGGCCCAGATCTCCTAATTCGCAGCCTGATGTTCTACCCACTAAACCACACTGCCTCTCCTCATACAACCCTGCAATCTTGGGCTCCAAGAGAGACTAGCGCAGATCACAAACAACCTGGATTCTGGACCGCATGATGCCCCTGTGCTCTCCGAGCTCACAGACTGACAGGAGTTGGAGCTGCTGGGTCTTAGCACCTCTCAGGACAGCCCCTGGGGAAAGAATACGCTTTCCAGCCCAGTTCCCAGACCAAAGTGGTTCGGATCAGCATCCCAAAACTAATCCAAACGGCATCTCTGAACCTTGTTAATTCAGGCCATCAGCTCGTTTAAATCTCATTTAGAGATCTGACTAGCACCCCCCCTGCTCAGAAGCCAGGGAACTCGGAGCACTCAGTTACTGCCTTTGACTCATGCCTTTTATGACTTAAGGCCAGAGTGTCAAGTGGATTTTTAGCCTTAACTCTGAATGTCATGGCTTTTGTGACTTTCAATCAGGGCCTTAATGCTATTTAAACAGTTCTCTTTTTGAAGTGGCTAAATGCTCCTGCCTGTGTTTGGGGAAGGTGGGGCGATGAGGAGGAGGATCGCAAGGGAGGAGGGATAGGAATTTCCAATGTTCTGATCAGACAATTGAGATGTTCTCCTGCCTGCTCAGATGCTTCTAACATTCTGCCCAAGCTGGGGGAACAGAAATTCTTATATCCCAGGGGAGGGGAGGGTGGAAGGGAATGGACAGCAGGGGCTATCGGTGCTGCTTTACATAATCCCAATATACAGCACACACACAATGAAGAGGGAACAGGTTAAGGGCACCTCCTTAGCTCAGGTTCAGTGCCACACCTGTATGAAGCAACAACAGCCACCAGCCCTGCACCAACCTCGGTACTTACACATGTCCCTGCTCCCCTCTCCATCACCCTTGCACCCTTAATTGCTCATCCTCACTCCTGCATGTCTAAGACCTGCTGCCGCCTGGTGATTTTAGGAAGGGGCATTCAGCCCGGCTCTCCCACTCTCCAGAAAAATGGCAAGTGGCAGATTTTTCCATACGATAACGTATAGATCCATCTGCTTTCGGTTAGCAGTTCTGACTGAGGCTAATTGGCAGATCAAACCATGTGATGTACCATGTTAGGTACGTAGTTATAAGAGCCCAGATTGAGTCTGACGCTTCTTGGATGGATCCCAAAGTCATTCCTCCCCCCGCAACTCCCCCAACCACAGATTGCTCATGGTGCTAATGCAACCCAGATTGAATGCACAGAAGCTGCAGGGGTATTAACAAGTGTCAAAACGCTTTGAACTGTTCCCGGCAAAGGGCCACGCTACATTCTTCACACTGAATGGACCTTCGTGTTAGGTTCCGAGACAAGCAAGTGAAATTTAAGATCTAAAGTAAAGCAAATGAGAAAGCAGGGGTAGTGCACACCCAATAAGATGGGGGCAATAAATGGGAGAGATGGAAAAAACAGAGCAAATTCCACTGTAGAAGACATGAACTTAGAGATCATTTAATTTTTCTGAAGGAATGGTGTTTTTCTGGCTTTCAGAACAGTATTGCCTACACTGAGCAGGCAAAAGGCATGAGTCAGGCAACAACAATCATGAGATTGGCTTACAAATCATGAGATCATCAATCATCATAAATCTTGGGGTCACTGAATTGCTCTCTGGTTATTGTGCCACTAGGGGTCACGTTTTCAAGCTTTTTTCCACAGCCACAAAGGCTAGATTGTGGTGAATTCTCCATCATGGGCAATTTTTAGTTTAAAATTGGATGGTTTTCTAGAAGATATACTGTAGCTCGAACAGGAATTACTGTGGGCAAGTTCTATGACTTGTGCTATACAGCAGGTAGATCAAATGATCACTATGGTGTCTTCTGACCTTGGAATTTATTAATCTAAATGTACTTTAAACGGTGGAGATTCTCACATAATCACATGACTCCAGGAGCTTCAGCACCAAGAAAAATGCCAAATACCATGAGACTCCCAGTAAAATAATGAGTACTGGCAACACGAAAATGCATAGATACCTCTAGTGGAGCAGATATCCAGCTCAAGTCTCAATGCAGTAATTATACAGATATACACACAAATATTGACTGGTTATACTGTCAATACCAGTGAAATATTGTCCAAGGGGCAGGATAGCCCCTGAGACTGTGGCATATGAAGTGCCTGCGAACATAGTAGACAAACCCCCATTATCTCATTGCCTTGGAATAGCTAAAGCTCTAGGTAAATCAAATAAATGCACCTCAGAATCAGCAACAGGAATGCAGTTCAGAAAATCAGGGTTGAGCTAACTGGGGTTTCGCCGTATTACATGGAGGGGGATCATCAAACTGGGGTCTCTCTGCATTGTATAGTCATGGGGAGTGGGATCAGCTAATCGGGATCTCTGCACTGCACTGTGTGTGTGCGCGCAAGAGGTGGGCATGGGAGGTTCAGTTAATTGGGGGGCTCTGCATTGCACTCCTGTGTTGATACAGGGAAGGGGAGATTTAGCTAATTGGAATGCCTCAGGAAATAGTTTACCCAGAGGTAGCATTTTATGTACGTATGTACGAACTGTGATCAATGCTGGAGACTGCTGGGATTCTCCTTATGATTTCTGGGACATCCTGCTCTCCCAAACTACCTGTTGGGATTCTTGGGGCTTTTTCTCGTGGCAGAAGGAGTCTGCAAGGGAGAAGAAGCAGGCTCTCACCCCACAAGAGCAATCTTTATCCAAAGCCCAAGCACTGAACAGAGCAGTCTGCGTGGCTTGTCCTACACCACAGGAACAGTCACAGGGAGGAAGATACTGTACCCTTTCCCACCTTGCAACAACTGGGCCTGCTTCCACAAGGCAGCAGGAAGCAGCCAGGCTACAGCACCAACAAGTTTGTTTTCCCTTTACCTGGGTGGGTGAAAGTGGATTGTGTAGCAGGCTCCATTTGGAGGTGCCTGGCCTAACTGCTGCACTTAAGGCAGCCCTGTGACATGTGTGTGCTGCAGACGATGGCTGCACTGGCTGGCTCACTAAAGCAGGGACTTGTGTGTAGAGGTTGCTGCAGCAGAAGACAGAGTCTGTAACCCTGAAGTCTAGGCATCGCATTTGGTTCTGGGCATGTGTCCCCACCTCTCAGGCTCTAGCAGAGGTGATGTGTAACTGTTGATGATAGTAGGGAAGGCACAATTTAAAGGGGGGGCATACGACCACCCCATGCGTCACCTCTGGCCCCTTTCTCGCCCCCCACTCTCCTGCTGCACCTGCCAAGGGTTGGCTGTCCTTAAGAATGAGATTTACAGCCCAAAAGAGTGAGATTCAAGGCCAAAGAATGACACTTCCCAGGTGGAGTGTTAGGTCATTGTTTAAAAAAGGGACTCATCTTTGATCCTTGGCAATATCCAATAGTCCAGGTTTTTAATCCAACCAGTATAATCAGATTTTCACAAGCATGGATGTTAATAATATGCTACAAATAGTGAGTGGATTTTTTTTATGGGATATAAGGATTGCAAGTTTGTGTCTGTATAACTTTGTATCGGTAACATACTGTATTTTAATAATCCTGTTGCCTTAGATAAAGGGCCTCATATTTAACCCTCATCGGGACACACTGAAAACTGTACAAGAAACAGAAAATCTTGGACCCAATACAAATTAATTCATAAAAACAATCCAAACTTTCTGAAAACATTGCACACAAAGTTTCTGACAAAGTACTAGGAATAAATTACTGTACTACCAAAAAAAAAAAAAAAGTCAGCAAACAAATTACTGCTGGAAAACCCAAGTGCCCTGAAAGGGTTAATAAATAATAATAATAATAATAATAATAATAAATTAACAACAGTAATCATAATTATTAAACACATTGGACTTACTTTATCAGTGAGGGGATTTGCCATGGGTACAAAAGGAATTTGTGACTCTAAAGCCATTGCTCTGCTATTTGTGCGTGTACTTCACTCCCCAGATGACACGTTGTATCCTTTTCTCCTTGATGACCACAGGACAGCGCCGGGCAACAGAGCGTACATTTTAAAATAAGAAGCCTTGCCTTGACAATGAAGGGCCAGGAATTTGTCCAGTGGGGTTTAAATTTTGAACTGTATTTTGCAGAACCAGCAAACTTTCGATCAAGTCCTGCTTGTTTTTTGGGCAAACTCATATTTTTTTGACGGTCAGGTGTTCACACCCACCAAAAAAATCCCGCGTGTAGCCTCCTCTCTCCCGCCTACAGACTGCAGACCGGTCGTCTCCCTGATGGCCACACGCTTGCAATGTGGCTTTCCAAGCTCTAAGGCCCAAGCTTGGGGCCCAGGATGTTTGGTTGTATCTTGCAGTGCCTGAGTAAAAATAGTTTCAATCTTTATATATTTTCTCAAAATGAGTGAGATAAGCTTAGAAAGGTGTGCGAGAGTGAGCTAGCGTGCTACTGAGTGAGTCTCACACCCAATGAGTGAGGCTTGACGTGTCTCCAAACTGGTACCACCTTGCCCCCCACGTCCCTCAGAGCTGCTTCCCCACTTCTCCCACCGCCTCCCTGCATGGGCGGTGCATGAACCCCACTCTGGGGAGGCCAGCCCCCGGGCCCTCCCCTTCCACCCCAGGCCCCGGCCCTACTGTGCCCCCTCGCCCACCGGAGACCCAAGACCTCCTCCCCAGTGGCCGGAGGAGCACAGGCCCCTGAGCCCAGGGCCGCCAGCCAGCCCAGCCTAGCCCCGCCAGCCAGCCT